TAATATATGAAATAAATGAAATAACTATATTAATATATCTATATCTATATCTATATATTAATGTAATTCTATATATTATATGTAATTAAAGTAATTCCATTACGTTAATATATCACTTAACTGTATATAATATTACATAATTTGGTGTATATATATATATATATATATATATATATATAAATAAATAACAAGATTCTGTTATCGAGTTTAATAAATAAGCAGGCAAATAAACAATAATAGTAATAAATATAATAAAAAATACAATAATTAAATAAATTAAATAATATATTAAATGCATATATTAGCTTTAATAATAGCTTTTTAATAATTTGTAATAGCTTTTATTTTATATTATAGCTGCCATAGTTTTTGGACACTGTACCATAAAATACCACTCAGGCATTGTATATAGAATACAGCGGGGCTAGCTGTCCTCTGAGCAACTACAAGGTTTATAAAAACAAATATGTCTTCACTCCATCAGTGGTTTTGTACTGTATACTGGTCTCAAACATGTATTTCAAAACAAGTTCCAAAGTGACAACCCCAGCAAACTACACAAGCTCAGAATGTGTTATTTATTTATTTATGATTGGTTAAATAACAATAGAATTTTTTGAAGCCAATGATTTGTGTATATAACTGAAATGTAAAATATAACTGTACCCTCTCCGAGTCCTGAGGAGCTCCATGCTGTTTCCTGAACGGATTGAAATGATCTCAATGCTCAAGCAGGAGGCTGTAAGAGCTCAGAAAAGTGTTCGCTGTTGTGCTTGACTCACCCGGGTCTTTCTCCAGGACGCTCTTTACTGCATTAAAGGCACAATATGTAAGATTTTTTTATTAAAATATCCAAAAACCACTAGAACGGTGTTATATATTTTTCTGACTTGTGTACTTACATTATACCAAATGTTTCGAAGAATGTTTAAATCCAGAGAAATAAGCAATTTTAACTAGTGACACGGACCGTGTCCATAGTGTCATTGTGTCGCCTGCCAATGACGTCATAACCCCTCGATTTCCGGTTTTGTTTTGTAGAAAACATGGGGTGCGTCTCAATCAGCTCCCTTGTTCTGTAGGCACTGATCAGGGAGTCGGCCATTTTAAGGGCTGTCTCAATCGCGAAATCTTTCCAGTGCACTGGAACGTTCGCTCCCTGAAAAATCCCACAATGCACTGCAAAAACTAGGGAGCATCAGCGCTCAATATGCTCCCTTACCGGAAATAACGTCACATTTCTGAAGCGGGAAACATAAACCACACGAGTCAACGCGATAAATATAATGTTACGCAATAGAAGATTTGAAAAGATGGACCGTTTTTTAGTATACTACTGAGTAGATCGTGTACACGAATTCGGGCACTGGTAAGTTCCCTGACTTACGTTGGACAGTAATCACTCAAATTCCAGTGACATGATTACATACAACGTCAACGGACAATATACACTGAACAAAATTATAAACGCAACACTTTTGTTTTTGCCCCCATTTTTCATTGTGAACAATATTTGAGAGAAATAGGCCTTTTGTGTACATAGAAAAAGTCTTAGATCTTTGAGTTCAGCTCATGACAAATGGGGGCAAAAACAAGTGTTGCGTTTATAATAAGTGTAGTAGAACGTCATCACTGGAATTAATAAACAACATGTAGGACCAATGTCATTTTTATATTATAGTGAGCGCCGATGCTCCCTAGTTTTTGCGGTGCATTGTGGGATTTTTCAGGGAGCGAACGTTCCAGTGCACTAGAAAGGATTTCGCGATTGAGACAGCCCTTAAAATGGCCGTGATCAGTGCCCTTACTACTGAACAAGGGAGCTGATTGAGACACACCCCATGGAAACACCAAAGACGCTTTAATATGTTGTGCGTTTTAATAGAACGGTGACGCCCGCACAGAATAGCATTACAACAGAACTTTCAAACGTATCTAGTATGATAAAACAGCGCTGCTTTACCTCGCATACGCACGACCGGAAGGAGCGGAAGCGGTCGACTGTGGCATAATAAAAGCTCCGCTTCTGCCCGAGTCCCGTCGGATTGCATCGGCTGTGGGGATGAAGACCACAACTCCCATGATTCCACACTCAGTCACGGCGTCATCAAACTACACCTTTGTCTCTTTGTTAGTTTTGAGTACACGCCCTCCAGCAGCAAAATTACATACTGTGCCTTTAACACAGCGGCCACATGACATCCAGCTGCGCAAACTCCAGCTGCGCAAACACACCAGAAACATGGACAGCTTTAAAAGCTGAATGCATATTAATGCATGAGAGCATATTTAAGTATTTATTAGATACCATTTTAATCATCCTTTTGCAGTTCAATTAAATCTGCAGTGTGACAAATGCCTTTTTGCTAATATTGAATGTAGTCTCTCTAATAATTAAATATATTGTATATGTTATAATACACTATATAATAACAATATATAATAACACTGAAAAGTACCTAAAATACCACACATACACATATATTTGTGTTTCTCTAATTTTCGAAGTTTCTCTAATTAGGTATATATATATTAATTAGCTCATACTAAGCTGCATGCATAATAATCATTTCATGCCAGCTTCCTAAATGCAGACATTAAAAACTATAATGATGTCCAGCAATATTCCTGAATCTGCCTGACAGTTTCCATAAGTTGAAATAAATAAATACATATATATATATATTTATTTGCAAGTGCAAGACTAAAACAGTATGTAAAAATGAAGAGGTTAATAACTGTGCAAGTCATCAATGATTACACGTTATGGAAATTATGCTGGTCATTATGATGAAATCAATAATACGAACTTAATTAAATATGACTTGTGACGTTATTACAAGTTAACCTACTGATATCCTTCTTAAACAAGTAATTTTAACACTCATATAAAAAAACGTAATTAAAGCTCATTATTTAAACTGTTATTTAGTATTCATTGCAGTACTTTTAAAATAATCATTATAAAGTCATATTCACACCTTCACTGTTCTGTTCGTGTCCATCTCTGGATGGCACGCTGATACTTACGCAGGCGGAAGTTCCGTGCTCAGAAAACGTTATAAAATAAAAGTCCTAGAAAATGACATTAGTAAAAATAAAAGTCCCGGAAAATTGGTTAATTTAACATAACTGGATTACGTTCGATTTAAACATTAAATGTAATAAAATATAATATGAACAATTATATAATCTAGAACTGACAGCAACAAATTCAGCTGAAAATAAAAAACAGTCTTGTAGTTAAAATAGTTAGTCAGAAAATGTAATATAATATAATTAGTGTTGTCAAACGATTAATCGAGATTAATCGCATCCAAAATAAGTTTTTGTTTACATAATATATGTGTGTATATTTATTGTATATATACATACACACACGTGCATGTATATATTTAAGAAAAATATGTTAAGTTTATGCATTAAATATATTTATATATGATATAATTTATATGATTGTATAATATATGCTGTATCAAAATATATGCTGTATGTGTGTGCTTTTATATATACATAATAAATATACAGTACACACACATATATTATGTAAACAAAAACGTTTATTTTGGATGCGATTAATCGTGATTAATCATTTGACAGCACTAATTATAATATTCATTTATTCTATTAATTTGACGTTGCTTACAGTTTCTGAGAAAAACAAACTCAAGATTTGCCTTTTGCTTATTTTATTGAAAAAGATGTCAAATATTAAAGCACACCAAATTAATTATATTTACATAACAGCAGATTCACAAAGTTGCTGATATAATACAATATTCACAGTTATATTTGTGTAAAATCTAAGTGGCTGCTGGCTTCATTTTAAATGTTGTGGGAAACTGAGGCCTTTCTCCAGAGCGTGGGATCTCCAGCGCTCATCATCCGCCTCATGCGTGAGATAGCGATATCCCATCCGCTGCTCAAACTCACGCAGGTCACACCACATCTGGAAGTTCTGCAGCGGGAGAAACAGACGAGGTATGCATAAATCACTCTGAAATCTGCATTTGCATGCCAGTACAATATGTTTTGGGTTGGGTTGATTTTTGGAGTTAGTCAACAGACCTGAAACCAAGGATGACCCATCGCTTTGCCAACACTGAACCTGCGTCTCACCACCACCTGCAGCAGGTTATTGATCAGATTCACCGCTGAGAGACAGAGAGAAATGAGTTAAAGGGGTCATATGATGCGATTTCAATTTCTCGTCGCTCCGGCCGGGACAGGGCATCATCAACAGTATGGTGAGGGGCGTAACATTTCTGTCACACGCTTGAGGTATTCGGCCAATCACAACGCACTGAATAGCTGGCCAATCACAGCACACCTTGCTTTTCAGACCGATGAGCTTTGTAAAAATCGACGTGTTTCAGAAAGGCGGGGCATAGAGGAGAAAAAATAATGTACAGTATGTGGAAAATTTTTGAACCTTAAACCGCATAAACACATTTCATTACACCAAATACACAAAATAATGTTCTTTTTAGCAGCATCATATGACACCTTTAACAGAAAGAAAGTAGGTAACCATCTGGTATTCCTCACTTAGGGTACAAAACTATGGAAGCTTTGCTCATTTCTGGCATGAAATAAAAAAAAAAAAACCAAAAAAAAAACAATTGCAGCTTTTAGTCTCACACTTTTGTCCACACTTGTCATAATACTAAGTTCTCTCTAATACTTCTCAAACTCTCTTCTGCATCTTGCAATTCGGGAAAAAAATCTGAGATGTCGCAATTACCTTTTATAAAGGGGTTCTATACAGAAAAAAGACAATACATCTAACTTTCATTTATATACTATATTTTATTTCAATAATATTTACTCTTTAATAATTCATATTTTGAGGGGATTTTATGGTACTATACAGTATTCACCTCTAAATTATGCACCATCTAAAAACAAATATTAGAAAAAATTATTTCATATTATTTTGAATGGATACAGTATTAAAGTTTTGCATTTAGACATCATTGAAGACTACTTCCTTGTGGCTGATTTATAGATTGTATTTTTTCTTTTTTAAACCATTTAGCCTTTTCTAATCATGCTCAGTAAAAATAAATAAAAGTAAAAATGTGAAAAATTCTAAATGAACGTGGTCTAAAATGACAAAAGGCCACTATGTATATATGCATTTATGTATTTGTGTATATGTGTGTGTGTTTATATACACACACACACACACACACACACACACACACACACATACACACACACAAAGTATACATGCACACACACAAAGTACACACACACACACACAAAGTATACACACACATTTTAAGTAATATAATCAGACTACTTTTAGATTACTTTTGATGTAACTGGTTTATCATCTTGATTTAAGCAAGATAATCTTGTACCATATTGATATAAAATACAAAGATAAAATATATCATTCATTGTTAGTAACAACATGAAGTGCATTAAACTGCAGGGTAAATAAAATGAATGAGTTCATCAGTAGTTGATGCAGTGTTGAAATGTTGGGAAACAACTTCTTAAAATTGAAGCGATTTTTGTAAATCCAGTGGTCAAATGCTGTGTGGCCTCTCAATTTTGTGTAATTATAGCCACCCGACTAGTGACTGGTGTTTGTGTGAACGAACATTTAAAAGATGAAAAAGAAGAATTAGGGAGAATCAGTAAATTTTTTTATTATTCATTGCTATTGTGTGAATAACATGTAATCATGTAATCAACAAAAAAAGTAACTGTAGTCTGATTCAGAGTATTTTAAAAATGTAATTTAATCTAATTACAAATACTTAATTTTGTGAATTCTAATTACGTAATCCATATTACATGTAATCAGATTATATGTATATGTATGTATATATATATATGGCTCTGCACTCCTTATTTATACTTACTTATACCTAAATTCATTACTTCATAGTTATGTGCCCTACACACACACACACACACACACACACACACACACACACACACACACACACACACATACACACACACAAAGTATACATGCACACACACAAAGTACACACACAGATTAACAAAGTATACACACACACACACACACACACACACAAAGTATACACACACATTTTAAGTAATATAATCAGACTACTTTTAGATTACTTTTGATGTAACTGGTTTATCATCTTGATTTAAGCAAGATAATCTTGTACCATATTGATATAAAATACAAAGATAAAATATATCATTCATTGTTAGTAACAACATGAAGTGCATTAAACTGCAGGGTAAATAAAATGAATGAGTTCATCAGTAGTTGATGCAGTGTTGAAATGTTGGGAAACAACTTCTTAAAATTGAAGCGATTTTTGTAAATCCAGTGGTCAAATGCTGTGTGGCCTCTCAATTTTGTGTAATTATAGCCACCCGACTAGTGACTGGTGTTTGTGTGAACGAACATTTAAAAGATGAAAAAGAAGAATTAGGGAGAATCAGTAAATTTTTTTATTATTCATTGCTATTGTGTGAATAACATGTAATCATGTAATCAACAAAAAAAGTAACTGTAGTCTGATTCAGAGTATTTTAAAAATGTAATTTAATCTAATTACAAATACTTAATTTTGTGAATTCTAATTACGTAATCCATATTACATGTAATCAGATTATATGTATATGTATGTATATATATATTCACAGACTTTTTCATTAAATGTTCCCTCCTGGTGGAATGTCCTTAGCCATCTTCAAGAATCAGCTAAAAACACATCTCTTCCATCTTTATTTGACCCTCTAACTCTAGCACTCTCTATTCTATGGAAGCCCGTTTCCACCACTGAATAAAAAATGAAAAAGGTAATTGCGACTTTTTATCTCACAATTCAGAGTTTTTTTCTCATAATTGCATGATACAAAGTTGCAATTGCGAGTTAAAAAGTCAGAATTGCGAGTTTTTATCTCACAATTGTGAGTTTACATCACGCAATTCTGTGAAAAAAAGTCCGAATTGTGAGATGAAGTCGCAATTACCTTTTTAAAAAAAATGTATTCAGTGGCGGAAACGGGCTTCCATACTATTCTAATTCTAAAAAAACTCGTCCCTTTTAGACTTGCACTCTATTAATTTACTAACTACTTGTTTTATTACAAAAAACAACTAACACTAGCTTCTCTAATCTTTTTGTATTCTATCTGTTTGTTTTCTTTTTATTAATTATACAATTTAAAAAAAGCAAAAAAGGCCTCTAACACTAGCTTGCTCTATTCTTTTTCTATTCTATCGGTTTTCTTTTTATTCATTATATAATTAAAAACCCTTGCTACGCGTACTGCGTTAAGCTAACTGAGACTTGTTAAAGCACTTGTGTATAGTTACTCTTTTGTTGACTTTGATTGCTTCCATTGTCCTCATTTGTAAGTCGCTTTTGATAAAAGCTTCTGCTAAATGACTAAATGTAAATATATACACACACACACAGATACATGGTCTCTTACCCTCCAGTGAGATGAGGGACCACGGCTGGTGTGGATACATGAACGAAGCATTGGTGATCTGCTGATTAATGTCCTCGTCCTCGTTGAAAGGGAACGTTCCACTCAGACTGACGTATAAAATCACACCCACGGCCCACACGTCCAGAGAGCGATTGTAACCCTTACTACAGATGATCTCCGGTGCCAGATAGGCAGGCGTCCCGACGACAGTGTGCCGGAATGACTTCTGTCCGATGATACGAGCGAACCCAAAGTCACACAGTTTGACCTGAAACAGAGACATTGCATTCAATGCATTCAGTTTTTGAATTCCCTGGAAATCAAAACATGATTCTAGTATTGTGCTCAACAGTTTAAATATCTCCATTTGACACATGCAATTCTAGACTTGACTTTAAAGGGATAGTTCACCCAAAAAAGAAAATTCTGTCATTAATTTCTCACCCTCATGTCGTTCAAAATGCCGTAAGACTTTCGTTCATCTTCAGAACACAAATTAAGATATTTTTGATGAAATCCAAGAGCTCTCTGACCCTCCATAGACAGCAACGCAACTGAAATGTTCCCAAGTCCTGAAACATAGCAAGTTTATCGATGTCCTGGGAACATTACAGTTGTGTTTCTGTCTATGCAGGGTCAGAGAGCTCTCGGATTTCATCAAAAATATCTTAATTTGTGTTCTGAAGATGAACGAAGGTCTTACGGCGTTTTGAACGACATGAGGACGACATGAACTAACCCTTTAAGTGTCGAAAACATTGAAAATCTTGAGTAAAGAGCCATATACAAGAGTGTCAGACCTGAGGAAAGGGTTCAGGTGAAGCCAGCAGCACATTTTCTGGTTTCAGGTCACAGTGTGCAACGTCCCTCATGTGCAGGTACCGCAGAGCCTCCAAAACCTTCAACACCAAGCACAGATCAGCAAGACTGAAACTTCTTTAGTCTCCACTGATTTACACTCTTAAAAATACAGATTCCAAAAGTGGGTTTTCGCAGCAAAGCCATAGAAGAACAGTTCTTAGTGTGAAGAACATTTTGATCATCTAAAGCACCTTTTTCACCATAAAGAACCTTTTGTGAAATGAAAAGTTCCCTTTCAAGGGAACTTCGAACTGCGTACTCTAGGGGTCGCTATGGGGGAACGCCTCGTCGTGACCCGTGTCTGAAGCATACATTGAAAAAACACCAACTCGTTGGCCGGCGACAGCCAT